ACACGAACAGTCAGTCCCATGTTAAAAATAGCACGGGCCTGCGCTAAATATAGCACGGGCCTGTGCTAAAATTAGCGCGGGACTGCGCTAAAATTGGCAAGGGACTGGGACAGTCCCGACTTTGGGACACGAACAGTCAGTCCCGAGTTGTAAATAGCACGGGCCTGCGCTAAATATAGCGCGGGCCTGTGCTAAAATTAGCGCGTGACAGCGCTAAAATTAGCACGGGGCTTGGGATAAAAATAGCGAGGGTCTGTGCTATATTTAGCCTGTGCTAAAAATAACTCAGGCCTGCGCTAAAAATAGCGTGCCCTACGCTAAAAATAACACAGACTGGCACTAAAATTAGTGTCGGGCTAAAAGTGGCCCGACTTTGGAATACTAAGGGTCGGCCTTGCCCTCGAAAACAGAACACCCCTCTTATCGCTAATAAGGGGCCGAATCCCGTATTCCCCCTTGACCATTTCGCGCCGTACTCTCCCCGACACGGTGAGTCCGGTCCCAAGTGGTCAATTCTATTTTTTATCACTAACCCTTGGTCCATTTTTAGTACCGTTTGGACCGGGCCCTACTAATCTGGCCCCCGCAGACGCGGCGGTTCAGCCCAAAAGCCATAATTCGATCTCCATGGGGCTGGACCGTCGCGCCGTCTTGTCCGCTGACTCGACCCAAGGGCCAAACCAACGTGTCAACATTCTGCTGATCGTGACCATATGCAGTCTTATGGCGTGGAGGCTGGCCGCGACGAGTCAACTATACGTTGACGCGGCGCGCCGCTGTCCGACAGCGGGCCCAATGAACAGAGAGCAAAAAGAAGGGAAGGTGCCAGCTGTACGGAGCTGGGCCGGACTGCGGTTTGGTCCTTCTGGATAGGGTGCCGCGGCTGTTGGGGGAGTCCACTTTTTTTTTTTTTTTTTGCCATGCCCAAGAATGGTTAAAATTGTGAAAGAAGTTGGGCGCATTGTTTTGTTTGTTTGTGCTTTCTCTTGTTCCCCGATTTTGTGATTTTGCGAGTGGGTGTAGGGCTTCGGCAGTTCTGACATTCGAATACAAGTACATAGGTGCCCAATTTTGGGCGCAGGTCCACTACTACACATGCACAGAAGACAAACAATATGGCGGTGTATCTTCCCATGTTCTAAAGGAAGGTTCACTCTCATTTTGCACATTTGGTGCCGTTTTTTTCTCCTTTCTGTCTGGGTCGCGAATGCCCATCGGGTTCATGTTCGATTCGTGTCATTATTATTCTACTCTCTATCTGGGGTCGCAAATGTCTATCGGGTTCCCATGTGCAATCAGACTCGTCTTATTCACACTTGTCATGTATGTAAACAGCAGCACAGCACACTGGCTATATGCACCCACTCAGAACTCAGAGATATGGCTTCCAGGTACGAGTTCACTTCCAACTGGCTATGGCGACTTAGTGCCCAAACCACTCACTGTTCGCACACAGGATCACCCTGGATATCCCACACACGTCACTCTGAACACTCACACATGCACACACACTCTTCCCACTAACTACAACTATGGCTGCCTCAAACCTATCGCTATGCTAACTCCTCCTCTCTCGCCCACTGCGTCCTCCGGGCTCACTGCAGACCTCCTTGCACAAGTCGTTGTGGCAGCGCTTCCGCATGGCTCACGCAGGAATCAATGAATGGCTGGGCGCTGCCTCTTGATTTATACTTCTGCAGGTCGTTGGTCTGGCCCATTTCCCTTGCCCGAAGTGCACACAGTCCCGTGCGGTACTTGCTTGACTGACTGGGGACTGGGACTGTTGACTCAGCAGAGTAGACTTCCCCCACTTGCCCACTTGCCTCACCACTTGACCACTTGCCTCTGCTTAAACGTGGGCAACTCCGAAAGGCCACTACTGGGACCTTCCGGAAGGCCGTAGACTTGGCCTTTCGGGACTGTAGCAGCTACGATTTTGACCCTTCTGGACTGTAGCAGCTACGACCTTGACCTTTCAAGAAAACTACAGCTACGATGTCTAGACCTGACTAAGACTACTATCCGACAGGTCTACAGATCGAACCCATGCGACCATGGACCCTACGACAACCTATCAGCTGTTACAAATACACAGGTCACGGGTTCAACTCTACAGGCCGACACAGGTACTGTACACAGGTAAGGTTGGGGTCTAGGGATCGAACCCTGGGATCTGCAGCAGCTACTGCTAACTGGTGAATACCATTTCACTCCCGCCGTCCTAAATTCGAGGTCCTCCGTGAACAATTCAGTCCAAGGCAGGTCCTTTACCTTTCTGTTCTCTTTCGTAGGCTCTAACTATATCAGGAGCTGTCTCTAGAAGTTCTGATCTCGTAAACCAGCGGTCATCCTCCGGCTCCTGATATGCAAACCGGACCTTATACTGTTTCTGTGGACGACCTCTACCTCCTGTTCTGAAGACATCTTCACCTACAATGCCGTCAATGTCATAGCTTCCATCCATATCCGGGGGGATCACGGATCGTCTTGAGGGGAACTGTTGACTTGTGACACACAGCAACAGTTTTGAAGCATGGAATACAGGGTAGGTGTGGAGGTGAACTGGAATCTCTACGGTGTAGGACGGTCCATCCTCTCCGCCCTTGACTTCTAGAACCGGCCACGTTCCTCTATACGCAGGCAGTAACTTCTGAGAGATGTTTTCTTCAGGCGCAAACTCTTTTGCCTTGACCCAGACTAATCGCCTACTTGAAATTGTGATGGGTGACGGTGCTTGTTAGCTTGTTCTATCATCCTATGCTGGGCCTTCCTAAGGTTATCAACAACAATTGCTAATTCTTTCTCATGATGTATCGCAAACTCCCTGGTTCCAAGCGGTAGTCTGTGAATCTGATCCCGGTTCAGTCCTTCGAATGGTCTGCGGGGTCTAAAGGACTTGTGCAGTTCGTTGGGAGTGCGACAGGTGGATAGATGCACGTTGTTGTTGTACGCACTAGCTACTTTAGGCAACATCTCATCCCAGTTGATCTGATCTGGTCTAATATACATGCGCAAAACTTGCTGTAGGGTCTTGTTCATCTGTTCTGTTTGACCGTTGGTCTCTGGATGACGGCCAGATGACATTAATAACTTAGATCCGTACACTCGCATGAGTTCTTGCCAGTTCTGGCTGGTGAAGCGACTATCTCTATCACTGACTGTTGACAATGGGATTCCATTTTCACTAATCCAAAAGTCAAAGAACTTTTGTATCACTAAGTCTGTACGTGCCTCTGAAGGCAAAGGAACAAAAACTGCGTATTTACTGAAGCGGTCAACTACGACCATGACTTGGCTCTTACCATGTTTGCTCTTGACTTGGGTGTCCATGAAGTCTATGGACACTGAGTCTCCCGGCTGATCCGGAATAGGCAAGGGTCTGAGAAGACCAAGGGGTGCGCGTGTAGTAGTCTTGTTACGCTGGCATACTTTACAACTGCGGACATACTCTACGCAGTCATTCTTCATCCCCGGCCAGATATACGCACGCATTAGATTGGCTAATGTCTTTTGCCAACCAAAATGTCCCTCAGTATCGTGGCATTCCCCCAAGATTAAACTACAGATCTCTTCGCTGTTGGGAAGGCACAGGCGGTCAAACACATTAGTCTTCTCAAACAACAACCCATCTGTAGTGCGGTAATCTGGTTCAGTCTCTGGGGCCTCCCTAACTCTCTTTAGGAGGTCGCTATAGATAGGGTCTTGTGCATACGCTTGCTTCACTTTCTCCTGCAGGTCTCTCCCTATATCCAGATAGTGTACTACGGCTCCAAAGTAGTCTGATCTCCTACTCAGAGCATCCGCAACTACGTTGTACTTGCCCTTCACTGGCTTGAGCTCAAAGTCGAATTGGTCTATCTCTGCGGCCCACCTAGTCAACTTAGGTGTCATCTTGGCCCGAGTCTTTAACCATCTAAGCGTTTTATGGTCTGAATACACTTTGAAGTGCCTCCCAAGCAGGTAATGCTTCCAATGGTCTAAAGCCTGCCTGAGAGCGTAGAGTTCTCTTTCGTACGTGAAGGTAGCGACCTTCTCACAGGGCATCCTCGCTGACATGAACTCTACAGGTCTATAGCCATTGTCGTCGTCTTGCTGTAACACGGCGCCTATCCCATACTGACTCGCGTCCGTGGTGACGACAAATGGCAAAGACGGATCTGCAACTTTGAGGACAGGATACTCTATTAACGCGCACTTTAACTTCTTGAGCGCAGACGTACAGTCTTTGTCCCATTGCCAGATTGCCTCTTTCTTCAGCAATCTGCGCAAGGGACCGGCGATAGTGGAGAAGTTCCTCACGAACTTCCTGTAGTAGTTATGTAGGCCTAGGAACGACCGCAACTCTGTCAATGTGCGGGGCGTCGCCCAATCTCTAATCGCCGCTATCTTACTGTCCTCTGGCTTAATGCCATCTCCGTCTAATACGTGGCCCAAGTACAAAACTTGTGTCTTGGCCCACTCGCACTTCTGACCCTGATGCTCCTGGAGGGTCTTACTAAAAATTAGGATGTCATCTAAATAGACTATGACAAACCTATCCAACCAGGGTCTAAACAGATCATTCATGCAACGCTGAAATGTAGCTGGTGCGTTGGTTAGTCCAAAGGGCATCACTATGAACTCATAATGCCCGTATCTAGTCCGGAAGGCAGTCTTGTACTGATCATCAGGATGGACTTCTATCTGATGATAACCGGACTTCAAATCAATCTTAGTGAAATACTTACAACCCTGCACCCGATCTAGAAGATCGTCTATCCTGGGCAGTGGCTCAACATTCTTCACAGTAATCACGTTCAAACCCCTATAGTCTATACACATTCTCAGCTCCCCTTCCTTCTTGGGGACAAACAAAACAGGTGCTCCAAAAGGAGATGAACTGGGCCGGATCCAACCTTTCTCGAGGAGTTCGTCTAACATCATGTAGATTGCTCCCTTGGGAGTTCTACTGCCAGGTTCTATCTCTATCCTGTGCTGGATGGGTCGCGACACTACCCCTGTCGGCGACTCAGTCAAGTCTTTGAACTCTTCCAGCAATTTGGCTATGGTTGGATCCGTGGAACTTATCTCTTCCTTGCCCTCGGTGGCAGGTCTAACGTACACCACAAAGACCTGTTCCTCTAATTGCTCCTTTTTCACTAACCGCGCGAACGCGGGAGCACTGAGACAGCAATGCGCCAAGGCGTTATCTACACCTGACACATGAAACAAGCGGGCAATCTTAACCTCACCTAACGGACTAGGGAGCCTACAGTCATGCTCTCTCAAATGGAGTGTGGCCCCGGCTGCCTCTCCCCAATCCATTCCCAATACTATGTCGAAGGGAAGGTCATCCTGTATGAGGAGAGTCAGGGAATGGAGAACTTTCTCCACCTTCCCGTCCCTCTCTAGGCGAAAGTACGCCTGGAGTCCCTCTTCATAGTCCTCAACACGCATTGTGCGGTTGTCTGCGAGGACACTGACTATGGGGTCTGCCAACTTTTGGACTTTCAATCATAACATCAGCTTCTTCAATGCCCTACGGCTAATATAACTACGGGTGGCCCCTGAGTCTATAAGGGCCCCTACTCTACTCCTGAAAACCTCGACGTCTATCAAGATTAGTTGTCCTTTACTCTCTTTCTTCATCTTGGCCCAGGCTCGCATCCTTTCCTTTAACTCTTCTGCCACACCTGTGAGGGACGTGCCTAAAGAGACGCTAACACAAGCGGTCTCTGGACAGCTAGCTAGGCACGGGCCTGCGACCTCTGCCATGGGCTCATGTGGGTTGGGAGTGTCCTGTTCGCGCGCGCTCACTGCTCCACATGGCCCTGAAGTAGGGGCAGTTGCAACCCCTACTGGTAGCTGCCTTTTGACTGTTGGGCAGCCCAACGGGCCTGTCTGTACTTAGGACAATATTTCATAACGTGGGCCGGGTCACCACAGAATACACACTGACCCTGGTCCACGCGTTCCTGCCATAAACGCTGGTCCAAGCCCAAGTCTTCCCAGGGCCTGCCCTGTGGCAAGCCTGGGTGCCAACCTCCCTGAGGTGCCCTGCTACCTCGTCGCTGTGGGGACCGATTACCCTGGCGATTTGGCAAGGGAACTTGACCCTTACCTCCCACTTGGCGGTTTCCTTGGTCGCCAACCCCCTGTGCGCCCGGTCCTCGACCTCCCATGGTCAGGCCCCTTAGGCCCTGGCCTCCTCCTCTACCTTGCGGCCTCCCTCCAGCCGCGACGGCAGCGTAAGACCTCCCCTGCCCTRCAMTACTGTCCTCCTCCCCTAGGCCCCACTCAATCTGATCATACGGGACCTCGTCTGTACCACCTTCCTCTAACGTCAGGATCAAGTGATCCTTGGCCTTGACTTGGCCTGAGATGGTACGATCCTTCCACTTCTTCCCCTTCTCTAGGTCCTTATGCCAAACAGTGGTGACTGGCATAGACTTTGACCCATACAGGACCACCTCCCTACTCAACACATCATATGTGATCCCGGCCTGTTGAGACTTGTCAAAGAAGTGCCCCCCTCAGGGGCTCTGGCATGGCACGATAAAACAGCTGGACCAGTTGGGGTTCAGTAACCCCGTGGTCCGGGACGGCTACCAAGTCGTCCATAGTACCCTTGAGTGCCCTTGCACTCCTCCATTGTCGTGAGTGGATCGTTTGCAGTTTATCAGAGGCGCGAACGCCTCTCGTTGGGTCAGTAAATCGCTCCTTAAGGAGCTGAAGGAATTGAGGAAGGGGGGTGACTTTTGAGTATGCAACCAGGTTGTTTTCACAACCGGTTGCGCGCGCAAGGGACCTGGCGAAACTAGCCGCTTCATCCTTGAGGGCCTGGAAGGCCACGAGGACTTGCTCCTCTGTTAGGATATGCGGCAAATAAATGTAACTGTTGACACTGGCCTCCCAGTTGTCAAAGTTCTCCTCCTTCTTTCCCCCGTACGCGTCTGGGAACTTGAGCTTGACAGGCTCTTTACGGGGTCTGCCCTCGCCCTCTACAGCAGCTATAGCCTTGGCACCCTCGATGGCGCCTTCGCAGTACTTCCCTACATTATCCCTCAGTTGCCTGACTTCGCCCCCAATGTGGGTGACGATCTCGCGCACGAACTCTCTAAACCCTGACCGCATGGCCTTCAGGGTGATGTCTTGGCCCTTATTGGCTTGTCGTTCCTCTAACCAGGCCTCACTCAACACCTCTAAGTATCCCAACATCTTGTCCATTTTGGCAGAAACGTCTGTCTGTGCTTGGACTTCCTGTCTACACATCCGCACCTTTTCCACTTCTGCGGTCAACCGGTTAGCTTCCTCCCTTCTTCTCTTCTTCTCCCTCTTCATCCTCAACTTCCACTCCAGTCTCTTCTCCTTCTCGGCTTCTTGACGTTCAAGGGGTTCCTCAATCACTGCGAGGGCCCTGGCAAACGCCTCCTTCTCTTCCTGTGGCACATACATTTGCGCCTCCTCATCTTCACCCAACGATAAGTTAGCAACCCACTCACTGATTTTCTTCTCCATCTCTGCATCTTTATCCTCCTTCGCGCCACTACTCCCTTCTCTACTCTCAATTCTCATCCTCTCTTTCTCTTCTTCTGCTGCCGCTTCTTCTTCAGCAGCCTTTTTCCTTTTCTCCATCTCCTCTTCTAACTCTTTCATCTTCGCCGCCTGCTCGTCTGCGATAGCTTTTAGCTTCGCTTGTTTCTCTCGCTCCTTTCTCTCCCTGTTCTCCTTGACTAAGGCGACCATCTTCTCTTGTTGCTCAGGGGTGTAGGGATTAGTGCTCTTCCCACTACGTAGGTCCACCATGGTGATAGATGCACAATCATAATGATTCCACTCCTCACAACGTAGACTCTAACCCCTGACTAACAGACCTGCTAACTCAATCTATGACTCACAGAATCTTGGCAGGGATCCTGCCAACTATGGTCTCTAGCCTAGACCTAACTATGGTTGTCACTACTGAACCAGTGGCCGATCTGGAGGCGTTTAAGGAGCTCCCCCGTAACTCCGCAAGAATTCTTTAACGTCGCAGACAGGACGGCGTGATCAGCTTGGTTCTGCCTGTGCTTTCAGCCCACAACTCAGCCTTTCCGGCCTACTGTGCCACACCGAGCAGCCCGCCGGTCTGTACCGGTCCTTGGGAGGGTTCGTATCCCCCGGGACAGTCRAGTCGYCAGACAYAGATCCTCAGCCTTACTTGGTCCGGYAGGGGAGTGGTTCAAACAGGCCCTCAACACTTAAAGACTACCTGTGTTTCAGCCCGCAACTCAGTCTTTCAGGCCCACTGTGCCCTACCAACCGTTTCCACCCGGTCAGCACCGGTCCTTGGGAGGGTTATGCCCCCCTGAAAAGTTGGATCAGCCACAGTCTCAGCCCTACTAGATTCGGTAGGGGAGTGGTTAGATTCGGTAGGGGAGTGGTCAGCAGGCTCTATCCTTCATCCACAGAGTACTATCACCTAGGACAGAAGAGACTCAACACCTCTGGTCAACCTTCTTGGTCAGCCCTCCGGTCAGCTATGGCTGCCGGCTCGTCTTCCTCGCCAACCCTCTTCTTCTTCCTCACCTTCCTCGCCTCCTTTCACCCCGTTGTCTTCTCCTTCTTTTTTTTTTTTTTTTTTTTTTTTTTTTTTTTTTTTT